GTCACACACCCTCTCACTCCTTCAGTGAATCACCCTCCTCCTGCACGCTCACTGAGTATCGTTGTTACACAACAGGCACTTATACCCTGCCTGTAACTTGTTCCAATAATTAAGATTCCTCATGGTCCAGCTCATAGCCTGCAGGCCTGATTTAAGCCCTGGGAAGCTTGTGTTTGGCTTGTCATGGTACCCTGGAGGAGCTATTCAGATGCTCATGCTGCCCTAAAAACGTTCTATCTGAAGCCAGGTCCTGACCATCTTCATTGAGCTCTCAATTCAGCATGCTCCCTAACATGAAAATGCATCCCCCAAATAACTTGGTTCTGTTTTCCTTCCCTTCATCACCTACTCTGAAACACACGGCTGAATATCACATGGAGGTGGCAAGCCCACATTGTCACAAATACCTGAATGTAAGTTTGTGCCATATAAATTGAGTCTATCTTGTATAAATCACCTCTATAAAGCTCTGAGAGTTATCTGGAGACCTGCTTTAAGCACACCTGCAGCATTGTTTTTTTCCCTATGTGCTCTATGCCAGGGTAGCTCTATTGATCTATCTGGATATATTGCTGACCGAACATGATACATGTGAAAGCAACATGAAGCCTTGAACTTGTTTTGCCTGCTTTGCTCTTACACTGGGAGCTGGTTAATGCATGGTCATTGCTCAATGGTGTCTACATGCTTGATGGGTTGATTTCCTGTGCTTTCTTGTGGCAGGAATAGCCTACATGCATTTCAGCATAACATTTTCTGGGGTCTGGATGTGTGTTATATAAAAGTGTAAGAAATGAGAAAGGACTGAAAATATGTAGGATGTGAAAGGGAGTGTGGATTACTGGGTAGAGCACAGAGTAGGCAATTAGTAGGAAGGTTCCCCACTCCTAGTTTGGTTGGAGTTATTGTGAGAACCAGGGCTAGTGAATCATGGGCTGGTTGATCTAATTCTCTGTGACTCTCCATGACTTCATCAGTCACCGGCGTTTGAAACTCTGCTCCGGAGCCTGTCTAAAGGAGTGCCCCAGGCTTGGCTTAACTGTTTCTATTCTATTTAGCTTGAAATGGACCCAATTTTATCACTTTTTCCATCCTGGGGAAACCTTTTCTAGCCATGAAGATTTTTGTGAGCACATCACACAGTGAAAACACTTTAGTACAAGCAATAAACTACTTAAACTTACTAGTGCATATACAGTGAAAAAACTCAAGTTCAAAACAAGATCAAAAGCATCATACAAAAAAAAAATTCAAGTATTTAAAGGGGTCACAATCATGAAAAAGAAGAGAATGAACAAGCAAAAAGGCTGTATAGCAACTTCAGACAAAAAGTTTCACTTCTTCCTGAAAAATTTCAGGCAGTTCCACAGTCCATGCCTCAGTTTCTCTAATTGCCACATGGGGTTGGCAACCCAGACCTATTTTGCAAAGGTGTTGTCAAGTTTAATTTGTGAACCTTTGAAAAACGCTCTGAGTTTTTCAGATGAAAGACACTGCAGATGCCAAACGTGGGTGTATGCTCTGAGTCAGAGGCATAGACATGGGCATATTGTGTGATTGGCTTGACGCAGTGCACTAGATAGGAGACAGTTGTCTTCTGCGGGAAATGTAGGGATAACTAGCACAAAAATCACAGAAGATGCTTACACAAGTGTGAACTAATGCTACAGAAATCAGGAACCTCCCTCTGGGAGGGGGAAAGATAAAGCCTACAATAAAGAAACGTCCAGTCTGTATTTTATTTTGGCTTCTAAATTGCCTGACATACACGTGTGTGCACAAGTCTTCTGAATATGGTTAGGAACTGAAGCACAGGTTGTCTGAGAAACTACCCTTTAACTCCTGTAGTCCTCCTGTGATTCCCAGGCAGAATTAGCCAGCAGTGGCTGTGGTTACAAACACCAGTAAGACCATGTGCTCCTCAAGTTTCAGACAAGCGTGAACAGTAGATTTCCCGGGAAAGGCCAGAAATAACAAGAGAGAGGTGAGCCCCAACTGCAAACCATCTTTTGGCATGAAAAAGACACGATGAAGTGTGATGAGGCGCAGAGAGATGCTGGGGAAAAGGTGGGCTTGGCCTTTGGCTACAGAACAAAGTAGCAGGATGAGTGGCAGCAGAGGTGGTGCATTTAGCTCTTGCTGGTCACATGTGGGCCTGCCACGGTGTCACAGGTATTTGCAAGCAGGACATGCCCAAGGCACTAATTCCAGGCACACGGGATGCTTGAGAGTGAGCTGAGGGTAAAAGGGGACAAGTGAAAGTGTTCCTGATACTGATAGGGGATGAGGTAAACAGGTTTGGGAGGATGACAGGGGAAGGGAGACTGACATGCCATGGGAGGCCAAAAGGGGGTGAGGGACCTTCAAGAAGTCCAGTTTGCACTTGGGTCCATTAATCTCTGTGTGTGTGTGTGTATGTATATGTGCAGCCTCCCTTGTTCTGTCTGACACAGCATTTAAGTCGAGGATTCTTCAAAACTAAACAGCAAGGACAGATGCCACCCATTCAAAAGCCAAAGAAGAGACTGCAACTTTATGGAGCATGCCAAATGTTTTAAGGGCTGACTACAGCCCATCTGATTCTGACTGGCGCAGTAGATGGTAAACATTACAACATCTTACATCTCAAGTATGGTCATACTTCACCAGTAACAAGTGGAGGGGCTAATATCATGGCTGGCATCAGAGTAGGTCAGGAAAAGCCCAGCCATAACCTGACTTACTGGAGGGTGCAAGTCTGTATGTGCCTCTGCATGGACAGAAGAATCTATCGTAAACCTCCTCTGAGTTCAGTTACTCCCAAGACTGCCTAAAGTAACAGGATTAAACTCGTTTGCTCTGGATTTGCCTCAGTAAAATCAAGATGAAAAAACTCAGTCCTTAATCTTTTGACTGCCTATTCCAAAATCCTAACAATCATTCTTGCCAGGAAAACAAGAGAAATCAAGGCCTCCTTCTCCAAGTTAGACCTTTAGTAAGGTCTTAAACCTTAGATGTTTTTTCTTTCTTAAGTATTAATGCTAGCTTGGAAAATCTCTGCTGATTCTCTTCACGTACACGTGAAGAACAGGCAGCTCCACCCTCCAGTATTTTTAATCGCTTGGAGATCTACAGGCCAGTTAATGCTATAAAGAGCAGCTCAGCCGAGGAAGCTGGGGAAAACAAATACATGGATGTCAGTCAATGTCTTTCTTTTATGAAATTTGTTTTTAAAAAATAGCATTGCCCTTTCCTATGCCACAGAATGAAGAATGACTCACAAAAGACTATGGTCCTCTTAATAAAAAACCTGTCCATTAGAAATTACTGAAAAAGGTGTGGCCTTTTCCAACAACTATTATCCAAAAAAATACTGTATACTGAATCATTTCTCATATATAGAGAGCTATAATGACATACAGGCTGTAAGTGGGACAGGATCCATGAGCCATGGGTCCCAACTGCATTTCAGTTGAAGAGAAGAATGTTTTCTCTTTCCTTATCTCTTATTTTGCACAAAGACCTTAGAAACTGGATCTGTTAGACAGGTGCTTCCTAGCTATTTCGTTCTCAGATCCAAAATGTATGCTGCTCTTGGTTTGGGCTGCACCTTTATTTCCTCCACGCCTCAAAAAGAGCTGCAAAATGTAAACCTGGATTTTTCCTCTGCTACTTCAGACACTTCCAACTGGCTTTTGTTACAGATTTCTAATGAGATATTATTACAGCCTAAAAATCTTATTCTCCAGCAACGCCACCATTGCATTCTGTGACAATTAGATTAAACACAAATCTTAGGCATGGTTAATTTACACCCAGGGCACTAATCTCAGAGCAATCTCACTGAAATTCAGAATATAGGCTATGCTAAATTGATACGATACGAGTGGAAGATCAGGCTCTTTCTTTTGAAGGTGATGGAACTCACAGTGCTTGTAAAGAGCCTTTTCTTCTGAAATCTTCTGTGATTCCAACAAGTTGAACATTTCCCTGGAATACAGCTAGTGGAGACAAATCTATTTTTAAAACCTCTTCCCAGTTCTTTTTTCCTGCAAGAAATATTTTTGCCCATCTAGCTGTAAATCATTTCTTCTTCCAGGTACATTACAGGTATGTCTCAGTTCAGTAGACTTTTATGGGAAGAGCCACATCAGATACACCTGAACCCTTACCTCAGTGAGAATGTGCAGTGAAATAGGGAATGGGGGTTTTATTCTTCTAGTCACATTAGTGGAGATTACATGGCCTGTGGGAAAAACAGGACTAGCCCATTTTAACTTCAGGTCATCTGTGTTGATCTGCTACATGGTTGGGTTATTTCCAGGTCTAGATGGCTGGACCTTGCACAAACCCAACCTAAAAATAAAAATAAAGATAATAGGGTCTTTTAAACCCAGTATTATCCCTATGTTTCCCCTCCCTGTCCTACTGAATGCAGTAAGTCCTCAGGGGAATTGAGTTTAAGAATGCTTTATTCTAGGCGTTCATTTTAATTACAACCATAATTATTTCTGTGCATGGGTATGACCCAGTTAACAAACCCATCTTCTGCATCTCATGGTCTCTCCGACCCTGCCCGTCTCTGCGAGGAGGTAACCTCAGCTCCTGGCAACAAGGAGCAAACTTATTTTTGAAACAAGCGGTCAAACTGGTTGCTGCATCTTAATGAAAGTGGTTTTTAAAGAACCCAACACATTTCTATGTATATAAACAGCCCTTCCTCCCAAACCTGGTTAGACAAGAATGTTCCTGGGTGTGGACTGCCTTGTATAATTAACTGCACAGCTGTAGCTTCTGATCCCTGGTAACGTCTTTCTTTCTCCCTGCGTCTCCCTAGCATAATCCAGGCGTTCTCCTCCTCCCTGCAGGAGCTCCAGGTGCGTCACTTGGGCAGAAGCTTTCCAGCATTCCACCGTCATTCCTTGCTGAGACAACAACTGGGCAGACATACCCACTTTGGGCTGAAAGACAGGAGCTGGAGGATAGATTAAGTGGTGAAGCCCATTTGCCCTGTTCAGACGATGGAAACGGGGAGTGCAGCAAGGCCAAATGGTACCACTGGGAAGCCAGAGGATGTGAAGAGTCCATCTGCCCCCAAAAAGGAAGAAGAAGTGAAGAAGAATACAAACTCTAGCGGAGGCGAGAAGGAAGCTCTGAAGGGCACTGGCAGTGCATCTTTGGAGGCAGGGCAAATCAAGAGCTCTCTCTTCTCTGGCAGTGACTGGAAGAGGCCCATCATTCAGTTTGTGGAGTCATCTGATGAGAAGAGATCAACCTACTTCAGCATGGATTCGGCAGATTCAAAGAAGATGCAATATGCCAGTGGACAGATGGGAGACATGAGGAGACCACCACTCTCCTTTGCAGAGAAAGGCGATCTCAGGAAGTCCCTCTTCAATTTGGATTCCAAAAAGAGCTTCCTGCCTAGTGAAGGGGAAGGGAGAAAGTCATTGTTCTCTGGGGGGCAGATGGGGGACCTGAAGAAAACTTCCCTCCCTCTCGTAGAGACAGGGGACCTGAGAAGACACACCTTCAACAAGCCTGACCGAGCGGCTGGGTCACGGCCCAGGGTGAAGCTTGAGGATGTTCTGTGTGATTCCTGCATTGATAACAAGCAAAAGGCTGTGAAGTCTTGCTTGGTGTGCCAGGCTTCCTTCTGTGAGCTGCACCTCAAGCCCCATCTGGAGGGAGCAGCTTTCCGGGACCATCAGCTCCTGGACCCCATCAGGGACTTTGAAGCAAGAAAATGCCCTGTGCATGGGAAGACCATGGAGCTGTTCTGTCAGACAGACCAGATGTGCATCTGCTACCTCTGCATGTTCCAAGAGCACAAGAACCACAGCACAGTGACAGTGGAGATCGAGAAAGCAGGAAAAGAGGTAATGCTCTTTTTATTGCACATTCCCATCAGTCTTTCCAAGGCATTTCAATATTACACCACAGCTTTTGCTTTCCAGCCTACAGTCTCTCCTCAAACCATGTCTGCAATGTAATTCTGGGATGCAGGGGTGGTGGATGGGAAGCATTCAGTGGAGAACGGATATTGCCTGGCTTCTGCTGCCGTGGGATCATTGTTCTCCTAATGGCTGGTTACAACAGCATAGCACTGGTCTTGTGTAGCAGACCTGACTGGGGGGTGGTGGTGAACCTGGCTTCCACCCCTGGTTGCATCACTGGCTTTCAGCAGAAGCTGAATCAAAACCATACATGCTAAGTTTTGTGTAGTGATCCCGCAGCCAGAAAGGTGGGCACTGCTCAAGTTCAGGATCTCCAGAATGGAGGTAGTTGGATGAGTGGCTACTAAAATTACTAGTGGCTATTATTGCCATGTCAGCTATTTAGAGTGAGATTATGGGGTTTTGTTTTTCTCTTCTGTTACGGATATAATAGTGTCAAGCACACCTATGGGAAGAGTAATTTGAAGCTTAGATGAAGAAAAATCCCTGGTGCAAGCACAAAACATCGTAATTTCCCCTGACGTGTTACTAAACTAGTTTTAGAAGATGGATATCTAAGGGGATGAGGCTGGTGTGTGGAGCAGTGCTCACTAATCGAAAGTCTTCCACCTTTGATTCCTTCAAGTCTCATGCTGTTTGCTTTCTGAGCAGACATATGATTATTCCACTAGATGCAGTAAAGATCAGGGTCTCAGCATGTTTGGTGCTATACATCCCATAGTAAGAGCATGTCCTGGCTTAGAAATCTTCTAAGCAGACAGGATGTATGCTAATGTAAACCAATTTGCCTAGAGTCACACAGCCAGTCCTCAGCAGAAACTGGAAGGGCACTAAGTAAGATCTGCTAAATCCTACTCCTAGGCACAGCCCAAGCCGGTGCTCTGATGTGGTGAACAGGCAAATAAAAGTACCCACTGCTGGAAATTCCTAAGTTACCCTTAACATGGAAGAACAGTTCAAGCCTTTCTAAGGTGGTGGGAAGATTTCTCTCTTAAGGCTGAAAGAGCACCTTATGCAGAGCTTCTCTCTGTCTCCCTGCGCACATATTTTTTATTTTCTTGCAACGTCATCTCCAACTTGCAGACTTACTGAAACCAGACAACATTTCTTCTGTGTCTCAACCAGTCTTTCGTAAAGAAATTCCTGCAGGGCTTGCTAGCCTGCTGTTTGTTTCATAATTGCTTATTCTTGTGTTTTTGATGTCAGCTCTCAACATAGCATATGCTAACTCTCGTAAAGCTGTGTCTGGTGTCTGCCAGGTCGTCCAATTCCTCTTAGCCGTTTCTACTGAAAAGAAGTTAACAGCTGCTCCCTGAGGAACCAAAGCTAGGCAGAGCCTTCTTCCTGTGGTTGGATGGACCTAGAACACCTTGCTTTTAAAGAGGCTGGTCAGAGGAGGCTTCGCCTAAGATTTTAATGATGTTTGATTTCTTCCTCAGAATCCTTGTGCCATTCTTGTTAGCTCCATGCTTTAGTTCCTATACTGTCCTTAGCTGTTTCTGCTGCTGCTAAGCCTAAAGGATTTAGGGCTTTATCAACATGAATCATACACATGTGCAAGTTTCTCCTGAGCACAAGTTTTGATCATGTTGTAACTTGAGTGAGTATTCACTCAGACAAAAACAATTAATAGGATAGCTTCTGCTTGCAAATGTTTATTCCTAGCCCCTATTTATTCACCTTAGGTGGAGCCTTAGCAAGAACCAGAAAGAGGAATGAGCATTTCCAAGTCCCTTGTGTGCACCGGTCTTGCAAATTCTTTTCCAGTCTTGCAAATCAGCTGAACTGGGATGTGACCACAAACTGGAAGAGTGGCAAAGTGTGAAAAGAATAAGCAAAAGCACCACATCAGGTCATCTCGATCCTTGCCCCATTTTTAAAGCTTGCATCCAAGCAGCATTGGGGTAGTTTTAGAAGCTCCAAATTTGCTAACTATACCACTGGGCTGGTGACCAGAATACAGCTATATCTACAGAGACTCTTCACACAATGTGGGTTGTGAAGGAACAATTGGTTTATCTGCAAAAGTTTCCCAGTCCTTGGCTGTACTGAGACTCCAATCCTGGAGAGGATTCCACCAGAATTTGGTGTCGGGGGATGTATGTGTGTGTCACTGACTGTCAATCTGGGCGTTCAGCAATTTGGTGGCACAAACCTGTCCCATGATGAGGTGTAATATGCTTGATTTAGGTATATGTATTCCTTTCATATGGCAGAATTAATGCAGGTTACAGTCTCTTTCATGAGTCTGTCTTTATAGACCTGTAAGGAGGAGAGGTGCTGTACTTCAGCGTTGGGAAAACAAGGGATAGTTTAAGATTCTTCTGTAAAATTAGGTAACTCTGCTTGCTCCACAGTGCAGACAGAGACAGTAAAGCTTAAGAGAAAAGGAATGCAAACAAGCCAGTAAACAGACACCTACTAGTTAGAGCATTTAAGCGAGCAGTGGAAAGACTGATATTTTTCTGTCTGTGAGACAGAGGAAGAACATGGCAGCATCTTCCACTTTTCAGGAGCCTGGGGTGAGAGTCACTCTTTTCCTGGTGTGCTTCTGAGCAGGCAAGAGCGAAAGGCACAGGGGGTCAGACAGAGACTCTTTTCCTGATTTTCCACACAGTGGTATTTGTGTATTTTACCCAGCAAACCTTTAATGCCTTCCCCAGAGCCACTTTGCATTAGTTTCCTGTTACAGATTTAGAAGCAAAGTAACAGCCCCACCAGAATCAGCACAAGAAACAACCAAGAAAAATGCTGTGAGGCTGGGTAATAACCACACACAGTTGAAAAGTGAAAACTGTCAATAGCAGCTTGTACAGCCAAATAAAACCCTCTGGCCAGCTTGATTTATCAACAGAACTAGAGTCCCCCTTTCAGATAGCATCCTTCATTTTGAAAGGGGATCCTTTATTCAAAACCTGTTTTACAGGCCTGTGCTCAAAATGAGACAACTTCACATATGCCTGCCAGTCACACAGCTGTAAATAACCTGTGGTTACTATCCAGCACCAGCCTTAGTACTCAGCACGTCAGGTCAGTTCTAGTGAAAAGCACTTTGATTCTTTTCTTTAATACTTTACGTTTAAAGAAAAGTTCACATTGCACAGCAGGTTTAAAGAGGCAGCAGAGAACTGTTGTGCAGAAACAGGACCTGGGTGTTCCTTGTTTCAACAAAGCCCCTTTTAAAAGGGGAGACTTCACAGAGGCTGAACTGGGCTTTGAAGTCAACCATCCACAGACATGCATCCAGAGGGATTTCCATGTGAGCCCTCTCTGTTTTGCTTTCACTGTCTGAATAGAGAGCAAACGAGAGAGTAGCAATATGCTAGTGGAAGGATTTTTTGGCCCTTCTCACCAAGGCAAGGTTAGGGCACAATGTGGCTGTAAGACCTTAATCTACATGAGTTGTGGTTGCTCTGCGGATACAGCTTAAAATAGATGCTCTTTCCACAGAGATGGTGCAAGTCCCTTGCAGGACGTTCTTCCTAGCTGGAAGGCTGGGAAAGCTGACCTGCTGCAAACTGTGATTTGCTTGTTTGCCTGCATTCTGCACTAATGCCTCTGCAGTGAGGGCAGACCCCAGGGAAAATCCAGCAGTTTGTAAGTAAGGAATTCTCTTCAGACTGTGCAGAGAGCCTTTTCTGGCCTCAGCTCATGTTGTGACAAGTGGCCTTATTGCAGGATGCTGGCAGAGTCTACAGAGATTGTAGCCCACTGGCACCCACCTCTGCTTAACTAAAGCTTAGATAGAAAAATGTAATGGCAAAAGCAGCAGAAATAATATCTCAAACAACTTGCTGATTTCTCATCGTGTAATTTCTAATACAAGCCCTGTATTAGGAACAACTAGTTTAAACACTTCTCTAGCTTCATTATTGCATTTGGTTGTTGCTGTCGGGTAATTAGCATAGCTCTCCCAGGCTGGTGACACAGGGGTGTTCCCTGATTCAAGGACTGGGTTCCCAGAGCATTAAGACATGATGATGCTTGTATTGCTGCCTTGCAAAAATGAGTCACATCATGATGCAAGATTCATAATCTCACATCTCTAGGTCCTTTACAGCAAAAGGGCTGGGTTCAGTTGTGGATGTACACTCTGAACTTTCACTTAGGCCTCTTGACTGCCCTAACTTAGACTCTAACAGGGGATCCTCTCTTAGCTCAAAGACTCTCAGTGCCAGCATTTCTCAGCTTGCTATAGTCAAACCGAATGGTCTAAACCTGTACTTCCTAGAGCTTCTTCACTGTTAGTATTTCTGCACTGTAGGGGCTCCCCTCACAATGACTGGAGGTGCTACAGTATCTTTCAAGAGGCCCTTCTGAACCCCAAGTCTCACCCAATGGATTTGTTCTGGATGGTCCATCACATAAGAGGATCAGGAGTTCTTGACCCTGGAAAATCTGAGAAATATGAAGAAAGCTGGGAGAGAAGTTTCTTTATTGGGAACAAAGTGGAGGAGTTGACAATACCTAATACGTGTAGCCAGCCTACTGTAAATGTAACACAGGACATACATGGACAGCTAAAGCAATCTTTCAGCCAGTCCAAGACTGATCAAAGCCTTAAAAACATCACTTTTGCTTAACCCCTTACATTGTAGTCCATCTCCAGAGCACCTCTAACTGAATAAGCCTCTTCGTACCCACATCACCAGTTCTTGTACTATTCCACAGCCTCCCTGAACCTCTTTTGAACATTTTTTCTATGCTTAGACTGGTTTGAATGTTTGTGTTACCGTGCAATGAAACACTTTCCTTCACCTCCCTTGCTGGTGTCTGTGCTAGTGGGTTTTTTTGCCCTCAGTATGGGCATTTTAACCCATGCTGAACCTGGATGGCTGTGGTCATTTGCATTCTGACTACTGGAACTATCTCTGTAATTTCCACTTGCAAATCATAATTGTCACTCTAAATGGTACTGTGGGTCTGCTCTCAAATACTTGTTACATCCCATCCCAGAGGCACACAAACTACCTTTCTGGGTGAAGGGATATTATAACTGCAATAAGCTGTTAGGAGTTAGTATCACTTCTGAGCAAGTAATAGTTTACAAAATTCCTTTGATACCCATCTCAATTAAAAAGTACTATAAAAGCATAATACTGCTGTCAACATCTTTCCATCCACCGTCTGATTCTTTTTCCTGTTACCTTTCTTTTCAAATCCCTCTGTTTGAGAGTGTCTGTGAAAAGTCTGTTTTTTTCCAGTCCTTTGTATGATTTCACTCATATTCTTGTCATAAGAATGTCCTGATATTTAGGGATGAGGAAGGAAACAAGACCTCCCATTGCCCAGGAGATGTGCTTTTTACTTTGCTAACAATAAGTGTTCCGAACCCCTGTAGAATATGAACTTCAGCTCATGATGGTATTTGTTTGACTAGTGAAGGCTGTCAGGGTGTATGGGTGGTATTTAGAGGACCAGTGCTCTCCTAACTCTCAACAAACAAGGACAATTACAATGACATTGTGAGGATGCAGCTCTTCTGGCACTGAGATACCTTTGAGTACATTTGCCTTTTTTGTTCCTCCTTTCTTCTGTTTTATAAGGCAATGAAAGAACTATCAAATTGTTTTCCCTCTATAAATAGAGATATTTCTAAATTGGAACAGCTAAAGTCAATGGCTCTCAGATGCAGCTGTGCATGATTCAAGCTTAAGAGGATGTTCAGACGCTATCGTGACTGGCAGCAAGACAAGAGTCCTGATGGGCTGATTTCCTTGGTCTGAGCTTTTGACAGCTTGTTGCATGCTTTTCTTCACTGTGGGATGCTGTTTTCTACTCCTTGAATGAAAAACTGAGAACTTTAAAACTTCCACCCCAAGGGAAACCATGATCACAAGGGAAGACCCATGTTTTCACATTGTATTATCTTCTTGGGTGGCAGCAAAGCAGTGGGAACTACAACTTGTGTTTTAACAGCAGGGAGGCCTCATTGTGTTAGTTGCTGCAGGAGTGGTTGTATCCATCCCTTGTCTCCCCTGCCTCCAACTGTTGGCCTAAATGTAAGTGCTTTTGGATAATACAACCATTTGCCAAAGGATCCCACATGAGCAGCAGGTTTTCAGAACTTTTCCAGTGTGACACGGCTCAGTTGCAGTGGAGTACAGGTAATTCCTGCAAACTGCGTAGTTCCTAAATAGCTCTTGGGATGGATATCCCATAGCCAGATTGCCTGTAGTTATACTTGTGCTGTGACCAACATGTACACACATGAAACACACAAAGATCTTGAAATGCGTAAACAAAGGCTTTGTCATGATCTGTTGGGCAGGGACGTGGTGAATATGAACAACTGAGGGAGGGGTTGCCCAGAGTTAACGGCGCAAAGCATTACTAAACAGCCAGGTCCTGGTCTGATCCAGTGATGTGGCATGCACACCACCCGGCATGTTACACCAGTGCATAGCTGCCCGGCCCTCAATGGCCTCCAGTTCTATGAACTGCCTTGCATGCAATTGTCTGGTCTGAGCTTCTCTGGGAAGCCAGCGCAAAATGAAATGCAAATGAAGCCCAGTGAAGTTGCTGATCTAAGCCAAGCAATGGTTGACTACACCTCCTCCCTCCTCCTTCTCTATTTTTTATTTTTTCCAAACATTCCCCAGCTTCATCATAACATGAAAGCTCTCAATTCAGAGCAAATTAATCCACAATCCTGTCTAAACAGAATTCCTGCCGGAGGCATCATCCTCTTGTTGCAACACTCGTCAAACGTCATTCCGTAATTACATGAAAACTGTTATTGCTGCAGAGGCACACCCTGGGATGGGCCCTTCACTGCATACACAGCTGAATTTTGAAACAGGCCTCTTCCCCCTCCAGCTAATGACTCTAATGTGATTAAAAACGGCACCATGACGGTAGCCCAGTAGGTGGGTGCTTCTGCTGTCTTTGCTGAGGGAGCCGAATGTCTTGACCCAGCGAGAAGCTCTGGGATCTTGTCCAGTGTCAGCACATGATCCCCATTTCAAGCAGTGCCAGGAACCTGCACCTCCCAGTTGTTATTGTTCAGGGCCAAATGCATAAGTGGGAACACAGTGCTTCTTTGAAGTAGGCCACCCTCAGCCCCAGTTCATGAGACTGTCCTCTCCTCGCAGGCTGAGCTTTCACTGCAGAAAGAGCAACTGCAGCTGAAGATCATTGAGGTAGAAGATGAAATCGATAAGTGGCAGAAGGAGAGAGACCGTATCAAGGTGCGTATGGGGTATTCATTTCAGTTCACTTCTCTGTTTTTCCTATACTTGTCATTTTCTTTTCCACTCTCTCACATCCCTCACCTCCTTTCCTCAATTTCTCTGACATAGCCAGCTCTTATTCACTCCATCCCTTATCCCAGCTCTCTCTCATCACTCTCCAAAACTCGCTCATGCCAAGTCTTGGAAACAACAACTCCTACTAAATTAACATTGCAACATACCCTGCAGGAGATCAAGAAGAGGCAGCACAGCCTTGTTACAAAATGATCCAAGGCACCTCCCTGATTTGGGTTCCTTACAGTTCTTCTATCACTGGTAGCCAGGCTGATTCGGAAACAAAGGTGTGCTGCTGCTTTCTTTCCTGCTAGACCACACACACAAACTCCAGAAGGGCTCTGGATTGCCCAAACAGAGATAAGGCAACCAGAAAAGATGCAGTTACACCAACAAACACCTGGTAAATGGTGGAACAGCTTATTTCCATACAGATACAGGGCTCTATTATAACTCTTTAATCACGCTAAGGGTTAGAATATAGTCGTGGTGTTATTTTTCTCATTTATACCCTAACTGAATAAAGCAGTGAAAACACAATTTGAAGACACCCCAGAAAATCTGCATAACATTAACAGGCAAAGCCATTCTTCTCCCTTTTATGTGGTACACGTACATTGTCTTGCCAGTTCTGCTTTTCGTCTGCTTTATTACTATTATTACGATTATGACTATTATGACTATTATTACTATTATTATTGGAAACCTGACCTAGAAATTTTAACTCTGAATATAGTTACATCCACAGTCCTTCTGAGGAATATTTCAGAGGGACCTAGAGGAGAAGTTTTAAGAAACGATTCAGCACCTTTCATCCTTTGAAATGGTGGGAATTTGGTCCTTGAATTCTTGAGGAGCCAGAACCATGATTTAGAAAGTTAAACAGTGTTTTTAAATATCACCCAAGAGTGCAATTCATGAATTCAAAGATATGCTCTTATAATCAGGAAGACAGCATGCCCTTTCAATTACATACACACAAGTACTGCAAGAACAAGTATTACTTCTCCTGGCACGTTTCTGGTGCTGACTTACATACCTAGAGTCTCCATAGTCACAGTCTAAATGCTGAGGATGCTTGGACATATCCCTCTCTGTTTGCCTCTGTTAGACAACTCCCTGAGAAGTTTAATGTGTTATTTCTCCTGCCTCTTTCCTGCTGCCTCCTCTCTCTGACCCTTCCCTCTGCAGAACTACACTACCAATGAGAAAGCAACAGTGGACCAGCATTTCAAAGAGCTGATCCGTGACCTGGAGAGGCAGAGGGATGAAGTGAAGGCTGCCTTGGATCAGAGGGAAAAGATTGCATCAGAGAACGTGAAGGAAATCGTGGATGAGCTGGAAGAGAGGGCAAAGCTTCTGCGGGAAGACAAGGAGCACAGGGAGCAGATCCACCAGATCAGTGACTCCGTGCTCTTCCTGCAGGTAACCAAGATCTCAGTTTAGTTTTCTTCCCATGAAGACAGTATTTGTCCCAAAGACAAATCCCAAGCTGCGGTAAAGTGCATTAATCTCCTCCAGTTCAATGCACATTTATGGCAGGAACCTACCCTGACATTTGCAGCTGTCTCTGCTCTGGTAGGTGAAGAATGAACTTCTGCATGCCAACTCCAGGGTTTTTTTGTAGATGGCTGCAGCTCACAGGCACAACATTTGTCTGCCTCCTTTGTCTGCCCCCATCTTCACTGTTCTCTTTTGCACTTCATACTATTTGGGGCCTCACATTAGCTACTTCCTAGGACCTAACCTCCATCTCTTATATTCCTCAGTAACCTCTCCTCCCTTCTGTTTGGCAGGAGTTTGGGGCTTTGATGCGGAATTATGTCCCCCCACCATCTCTTCCAACTTACAGTGTGCTGCTTGAAGGGGAGAGCATGAGCCCATCTATGGGACTCCTCAGAGATGACCTCCTAAATGTCTGCATGAGGCACGTGGAGAAGATCTGCAAGGCAGACCTTGGCCGCAACTTCATAGAGAGGAACCACATGGAGAATGGTAGAGTATCTGAGATCTGCTCCTTCCCTCCTTCCCTCGGCAAAGCCTGGCACAGAGTCAGAGGTGAAGTCTGATCAGTGCGCTCTCACAGAGGAGAAAGTAAGCAAAGACCTAATGAAAGTGGGAGAAACACTACCTGTAGCTGATTAGTACCACAGCACTGCAAGGAGTCTTCTAGGTCTTAGAACCCACCTACTTTCCATGTCTCCCAATTAGTTCTGCAGAAAGGACTTGTCTTGCATCAAGCTTACACATAATTTTAGGAGGACAGGGAACTAGAAGGGGATTCCACAACCGAGTTTCACTTCCTAGATCTCCCACAAAGAGCTTTTGTAACCTTGGGCAAGTTAATTATTCCCAAAAGATGACCTCCTGAACTAAGAATAATAGGGATTGGAATTAATAGTTATCTCACCAGGCTGCTATAAGGATATAATCTATTAATAATTGTGGAACCTAGATACCAGAACAATAAAGGTGGAGAAGCTGGATAGGTAACATGAAGATAAATTGCACTCTGCTGTTCAGGAGGATGTGTGACTCAAAAAGATGCAGGGATAAACTCAAGTCCAGTTCATACAATACAAGCAGCTGAGGAACTTTGCTGCAAATCTGCAAGATCACTGTTTCATTCAAATTCACAGTACTAATTCCTGCCTTATTAATACACCATCTCTTTCCTGGGCAATAGCCATGTAAATCACTCCAACTTCCTTCCAGAAAAGACAGATCCACATTACAAGATGATATAATAAAGGAGGAAGGGAAGAAACAACCAAAAAAACCCTCCAAAACAAAAAACCAAACAAAAAGCAGCCTGTTTGATAAGATGCACAGCAGTCAGAACAACACAGGTTCACTTACTGGTCAACATGGCAATGCTTTTCAGAGCCTGGGTTTTGTGAATCAGCCTGCCTGCATTCATAATCTAGAGCAGTAAGAATGAAGGTGACATGGGACCAGAATACATTTAGATCTGTAATGAGAATCACTAGTATTCATCAAGTGACAGCCTGCTGCCGCCCTATATTATGAAGAGAAAGAGTAAGCCCCTGGCCCCAAGGAGCCTGCACTGCAAACAGTTCATTAACGTTTATCTAGTGCCATCAATCTCTGTTAGACAGGAATTAGATGGACCAGATTCTTCTGGTCTGGAGAACTGAACTTTTTAGTTCAAAGTGCTCATGATGCATAGCTAGAGTTGGATTCTTTAACTCTCCCTGCCCTTCAAGTAGTACCAGAAACTGAACATTACTTGTCTTCCAACATTTAACACCCCCATGTACCTGGTCGGATTCTCAATACTCTCTTTTTGCCAGTCCTGAAGCAAATGTATTTTACTTGGCTATTTGTACAACCCAACAAGAGTATGCATATATTCAGTTCTAGTAGCTCTGGATAAAAACTGACTGCTTCTTGATTATTTTTAATTTGGGCCCCTTCCATATTACTGATGTCAGAAGTCCTCAAAGGTACTTGAAATCTGTGGGATTCAAGTGCCAAAATATGAGTGGGGCAACAATTAACTACTGCCAGAAAGTTGGGCACTTTGAGAAACTTTACTTTAATGGACACAGCTTGGAGTCTGCCTAATGAGAAGAACAATGGTATCCACTCATTTGGGAAATGTTATTTAAGGTGAGTCTCAGAAGCTTCAGAGCTCTCCGTTTTTCAAACCACAGTTACACTTGAAAGAGGACAGCACTCTGCATCTAGTGACTGCAAGGAAATAACTCCACAATTACTTAATGGATTTAATTAACTCAGACTCCCCGAGTCACTGCAACAAATTCATTTGCAACTGGCTTGATCTTCTAGTGTAAAAAAACTTCCCAGGAAGAAATATTACATTAATGGAATGAAACCAGCTTAATAGCAGACTCCAAAGGGAATCCGCTTTCTTTTAGTTGTCATAACAGGTACCTACTTAGTAGTGTGGCAAGGAGGAAAATAATCAGACAGCATCCAGGGATTTTAAATAACACAGAGATAAATTGGAGAAATAACATAAAAGTTTGTTCAATGACTTAAGAATCAAAGAATGGAACTATTTAAACATGGGAAACAAATTCACCCCCTTGCAGAGAATAATAGGTTTATAGAACACTCGAGGCCTTAAAAGAAAGTGGTTTTATGAGCATCTCTACTCATCGAGCACCAGTTCCTGTGGGTCAGTATCAGAAAACCAAAACCAGGCTGTGTAATACCTGGGAATAGGGTAGGTTTCATCTGCTTTGCATGAAGCCTGAACCAAATATCCTTGTCCGAGAGCCCAGGAAGATAGAGCTGTCTGCAACTCAGGTTTAGCATTTTTCTGTAAGAACTGAAGCAAACAACCTACTGGGCTCTCCCAACACTGATTTTCTTGAGCTTTGTAATACTTGCAGTTCAAGATCTGCTGGTTGGAAGCCAGCACTGAGCACAGGTTAAAAACACACAAAAGAAGCCAAACCACTGCTTTTGAAGTGGGATATGTTTTTAGCCACACAGCAGGATTTTGGTAGGAAAATGCCTCACCCTCAAATCTCCCTATGGATTTCCAGGAGATAGCGTATCTACTTAATGGCCAGATGCTGTGCTGTCTCTGAGGGAGCTTTCTCCTTTATCCGAGAGCTGAACCTCTGGGCGGCTACAGCACTACTTTACCTCCCAGCCAAATAGTCCCACAGAGGTATTAAGAAAAAACAGAGAAACTCGTTTTCAAAGAGCAGAACCACCTCTCCTGCAGCACTTGCAGAAGCAATTCCAATCTGTTATTCCCTTCCCTCTCAAGACCATCCAACAACCTCCTCCAGCTCATGTCCTGCTCTGCTTCTCCAGGTGACCACCGGTACATGATGAATAACTATGAGTGGAACCAGCCGGACAACTTGAAGAGATTTTCCATGTTCCTGTCTCCCAAAGGTATGGTACCCTAATGGTGGCCTGGCTTCATTCAGAGTGAGAAGCAGGGATTGCTAAAAGCCTAAGCAAGAAAATGCCTTTAGAAACAGAAAACCAGAAAGGGTAGCACACGAAACAAGTAGCCACATTTCTTCTGGTCTCTAGACCTGGATTTGCCAGGTGTTTACAGCTGCTGCTCTGCAAAGCCAGATGGTGGGCAGTGTGAAGGGATATGCCAGCAATTAGCACTGGCACTCCCCTGAAGGCACATTTAGAGTGCAGTGTTGCCTGCTCTGTCGTTAGGGTTCCATGGGGATAACCCAGATCCCAACACTGAGCCCTTTGTCTGTATTTTCCACTTTGCCCTTCTCCTCTGTTCCCAGCCCACGCCTGGCAGCTTGCTGGCAGCCCTGCCTGGCGCCGCGGGGGTGAGGATGCCCTTTGGAGCAGAGGCAGCATTCCCAGTTCAGCATCAGCAGGACTGTTTCCTGCAGGCCCCCCAAGTTAGGGGACATTCTCTTCATCAGAGGCTGCAGGGGGCATTTTGCCAGTGGTGGGTTTGTTTTGCATGGAGCCTGTCTCCAAACACTGCCCACATGGTTACAGCTGATGTGCTGCCCCCAGCTGCTTCAGAGCTTTACAGGCCCTGTGCTGTCAGGGAAACACATGTTTTGCTAAGTGGAGCTGCAGATGCTCAGGAGAGACCACAGACTCAGCCCTGCATCCAAAACTGTTTTCAACCTTAACGGGTGGTGGTAAGTTAGATTTAAAATTGCGTGGTCTGAACCCATCTCTGTCCAAATTCATTTTAAATAGCTCAACATGCATTAGAAGAGTGTGGTGGAGTGTGGTGGGAGGAGGACAGTAGACAATGCCATTCTGATGTCATTGCTCCTATGTGTGTCAGGGGCAGGGCTGAAACGTGACATGGCAAAAGGAAAAGTAGTAAGTGACAGTGTCATTGCATGGCATAGCCTAGCTGCTCACTGCACCAGACCATAGTGACTGGACTTCCCTCTGCTCATCTCTGGATAATCAATTGTTAAGACCTGGGAACAGAGGCTCACTGGCTCCCAGCTGGGATCCAGCATGGCAGCCTCCTGAAGGATGTGCCTAGAGAAAGGAGGGATCAACAGAGACTGCTAGATACAGGGTTTCTTATTTAGTGCTCTTTATTGGAGCCAGTGGGGACACTTCCTGGATGCAGGCAGCTAGAGAGTAGTGTAAAGGATGTCCAGCAGCTTGGAGATCAGTGGGCTACTGTTCCTGCAGTGGATTTTTGAGTATACAAATCCTGGGGGAACATTACTTCTGCCTACACACATCTACCTTTACCTCAGAGTACAGTCATGTTGCCTTCCAAAACTACTTGTTCTGTGTTTTGTACCAATGAAATCGCTTCATCCAAAAAAATCTAAGCACAATCTCTGCTGAAATGGGATTTGAATAGCACAGGATGAGGACTCAATCCTCTCTACTAAAATGAGGACTCAAGCATGATAGAAAGGAACCAGCTGCTGAAACCACACTGTTGGGGTGTTTGGGAATGGAATGAATCAGTAGGCAAACAGGAGACATGACCCATTTAGCTTGCATGCTTGCTAGCAAAGGATTATCTGATGAATAATGCAATGTACCCATAATCATTTAACTCTCTAGAGATTTCTATGCTCTGTGTCATGTAGTACTTCCTCCCATTGCATCTCTTCTAAGGAATTCCATAAAATAGGATTTAAAAAAACAGAGGACCACCATTTGCATTGCATAATACACAATATCCTTGATTATTTCATGATAGTTTTGTAACACACCCTTTTTCTCGCTAGGTTGGATCACTGCAAATCCTGCCTGAAGCCACAGTGGCAAGTCTGTTGGCTGCACTGAGGAAGGCTACCCAAGTTGTGCTCTGCACTAACTGCAGTGGCCCACACTAAGAAACTGCTTGGATTTGAGCTGAACCTATATGTTTTTAAGCCCTGCTTAAATTCAAGGAGACTTCTACTGCCATAGTCATTAAAAACAGTATCACAGAGCATCTGCTTGCAAAGGTGTCATAATGAGGCAGAGGGGAGACATAAAGGGTTTCAAATGCTGCCTAAAAGATAGAGGAACAATCTGTTCCACTTCTTGACACTCCTTTCTGTCCTCTCCACTGAGCTTTCTTCTCCTGATGTGGCAAACAGTTTGGGCAGAGCCAGGAGGATGTTGGAAAGATCATCTTGTACCTTTGGAAGTCTTTGAATGAAGAGTAGAACGGACTCAGGCACATAGAAAGGGAGAACCAGTAGCTTAAATAGAAACACAGCTTAAATAGAAAAACAGGCCACAGGATGGCAGCATAACAGCTCGAAGCGTTCACCTCTTCACTCTTCTGGGAGTCCAGTGTCTCACAAAAGGGGTACAACAGCACTAGTCTGCATCACACTAGGATTTCCTAGTGAAACCCTGAAGCACATGCCTGCCACAGTGGCTGAGACAATGTGTGCTGGAGCAAGAAATGTTCCTCTGCTTGTGTCTCTTTGAGCTCCAAAACCAAACCTTTGTCTGCATGAGTCTTTGCAGAATAGTCACATTGAGTAGACAGACCTGAGTGGGCAATTTAATGCAGCTAAAGACAGTTCTGTGGCAGTTAGAGTGCTTTGTTCTGTAAATGAGAAGTCCATTCACCATTCCCTAGAACCCAGAATAAAAAAGACCAGGCTTTTCTCTACTCCATGGACTCAGATTTCTGGTTTGGGGCTGCTTCCAGATTGGTGGGGACTGTAACATAGAGCAGCGCCAGGCACAGGCCTTTGAGCCAGCTCATCAGGACCCAACTGCTGAACTGGATGCTCTTGTTTTACAGCCAGTTTCAACCCACGATCATGGGAATTTTCCTCCTTCCAAGCGACTGAGGAAACACTTGGTACGGGTAATTCCGACTTCAGTGTGAAAGGATCTAACCCCCCGTGCCACAGCTTTCTAGCTGGCTAACCAAATCTCTGCTTCCCCTCTCAGCTGTCCTGTCACCTGTCAATCACTGTCTCTCAGATCCATCTCTTAGCTGGGTTATCAGCACTGTCTGCATAGACCCAAACCCAGGATCTCACTGCTCTAGATTTCTTTCCATACAGGAAAGAAACACAGGGAAAGAAATTCCCTCCTGTATACAGGAGGGAAAGGCATCCCTGTCCTTACTGTTCAGACAGTGAAAGAAGATTGAAAATGTAGGTGCCAATTTGTAAAGATCCTGAGATTCCTAACCAAATGCAATCAACAGGAGTGCCAACATCATCCAAGGCAACCAGTGGAGGATGTGGTGGACTCCAAGTACTCTCAGCCAGTCTCAGAAGCACAAGGCAGCTCTTCTCCAACAAACATACACCTTTTACTTAGCGTATAAGAGCCTGCCCCATGTTCACTGTCTGTACAACATCCAGCACAATGAGGAGGGGGTGCTTTGAGCTAGTGTACCAAGGACCCCAGCAGCAGTGAGTCATGCCTTTTCTTCCCAGATGCCTACAATCCTTTTTCTTGCCTGTGTTTTCTTTCTTTGCTTTGTTCATGCTCAGAGGGTCCTGCCTTTCCTTTCATTCAGAGGCAGCCTACAAGCATCCACGGCTACTCTACCTGGGGGAGCTCTGGTGACTCACAGACACACCTAAGTTGTTCCTGTTTTCATGCCACAGGCAGGGCTGTCTCCCTCTCATCATCTCTGCTCTCAGATTCATTCTGGCAGCCAGGGCCTGACCCCAACGAGGCCAGAAGGGGAAGCCTTGCTTTAATTTCTATGGGCTTTGAATAAAGCCTCAACTGCTTGGAGGCAAGGGAGCTTCGGCAGTTATGTAGTTTTGCCTTGTTACTCCTGTCTCTGGAGATGCAGTTTCATGCCAGGAAGCTGCTGCTTTTCAGTCATACCTGCACTCTGGGTCTCTCATGAGAAAGGCTCTTCCCTGCCTGTCTGGAGCATTGGGATCAATTCACACTTGCACACTGTGTACACTGGGACCCCACAACTTGCTGCACTCATCTGCCTTTTCTTACTAAAAGAAAAGGGACAAAGCTGTTAGTTCCCATTTTCCCCCAACCAGCCGAAGGTAGTTTTATAGGGTGTGTTTTGAAATGCTTAGGGCTTCCCCACTGCAGCATGCAGCACCATGGAATAACACAACCTCTTCTGTCTTCCAGTCGGCAATGGTACTAAGCTGCCTTTTCAATTCTCCTCGGTGGGACAGAATCCGCCCGGTGACTTCAGCAAACAGTCTGATGGGAGCCTCTTCACTAAGACCGGTACTAGGCAGTTGGTATTTTACCCCTTCCTTCTTTCCCTTTTTTAGGTGATAAGACATTTAATCCTCTTCTTGCTTCCCCAGAGAAGGTCTGGAGCAGTCCTACAGCTAGCCCATATCTCTTGTCCTGACTGTCAATCTCTTATATACACACACATGTTCACACAAGCAACTTACTCTGCTGAGCCGGGGCAACAGGATTTTATTAAAGAGTGTTAAAAAGTACTAAAAAGTTACATCTAGTGACTAGCTGAAATGGTCTTAACTTTCATTTGCAATGGGTAGAGATGAGAATTATTATAGAGGCACAGGGAGCAGGGAAAGATACTGGGAAATTATGTTCATGGCCATTTACCCCTTTACCTTCATCAGTGTTTTAAAAGAGCTATCATCCTGAAAGAGTAATAGCCACTAAGCACAACCTTCAAAACCATGTGCAGCAGCTGCCTGTTCTCCTTCATCTGAACCAGAACCCCCGTTCACTGTCTCATAATCCTCTTTTCACTGCTCACTAGTTTAAGGGCACCAGAGGTGGAATCCAAGAGCATCAGCACCTGCCAAGCAGAGCCAGGTCTGACTAATTTGTGAACGGGGAAAGACCATTGCCTGATAGCACTGAAACTGGTCATGATTCAGCAGAGCTGGTGTTATTTTTGAATCAGAATGGAGGTGGTGTGGTATAAAGGGGTTAGGTCTTACCACACTGCCAGAGGTACTGTCATTAATTTCTGACATGAAACCCAGGCCTCAGCTCTTTGCAGTACTTAAATAGCCTATAGTGTTCTTTGCAAGAGCCAGAATGCTTAGTTCGGGACTTGGCCTGAATTTAACTGGACTGATTGCATTCCACCTCTCTGCACTCCTCAGACATTTTAATTAGACAGACTTTCTTTACTTCCTTTTCCTAACTGATTGGGTGGTGGAATAGAGATCTGCCTGACTGCTGTTGTGTCCCTCCCCAATAATGGCTGCATTTCAATGTTAAGCAATGCAATACTAATTATGTGGCGCTTCCAGTCCTGCTACTCATCTTGATGCTCACAAGGGGAGACGGGGATGGTGGCAGGGACTGATCTATAACAGGTTGTTTTATGTTGTCACAGCTTATCCTTCAATAGTGAGACATCAGTCTGCAAAGGTGACACCACAGACATGGAAATCTTCTAAGCAGTCTGTCTTGGTAAGAAATACACTCTTGGTGTGAAAGCATGTGCACAGCTTCAGCAAGAGAACTATCCGCTTTAGTGATACCTGAGACTTAAGAGACCAGAGCTTGGGTTCTTTGGAGATGGGAATGTAAAAGCTTCAAGACACCAGCTTCTATTTTATTTCTCTGTGGTTAACTGCATCCACAGAGGGATGCAGGTTAACACTGCTGCCACCACAGCTCTGGATTGTAGGAATAATCTATACTCTTGGTCCGTGACATCTAGAAAGCACAGATTGTGAAAGTGACACCAAAGACAAAAACGTAAGAGTATTTCGCTAGTTACATCCTAGAGTGCACAGATGCAATATCAAAACTGAGGGGTCAGACTATGAACATAAATCACTAGAACATCAGTAAGTCACTCATTTTGCACTTTTAGCACAAATCAGGTAACAATACATTATAAAGGGCAGAGGACAGTGATATTTTAGGTCTTATAATCTCAAACATACGAGGTTAACAAGCAGTTAATGCCCAGCCACAGAAACACTAAATTAATCTATTTTCTTAACATCCATTCACACTGTGATACATTAAGATCTTGCATGACCCAAAACAAGATCGACAAGCTTTTGCCCCCATCTCCACAGATGAAGGCTATTTTTTCAGTTCTGATTTTACATTTGTGAAAGATTATTTACTATTCCCTGGAAATAAGACTTGTAAGAAGCAGAGGGCCAAGAATTGAGAGCATTCCCACACTGAATGAAGAAAGCAAAGGAAACACACAACAGTTAGAAAGTGGCTGCCTAAAGACTGCAGCTGTATGTCTCTACTAACTTTTCAAGGCCCTACCAGGAGATGAATGCCTGTGAAAGGGATGTACCTGGGTAGACAGTTTCACAAAATCCAGCCTTGAGTTTCTGAATATGCTACTGCAAAATAGATACCCTAGGAACAGCGAAGTTTTGTAGTGTCTTCTGTCTTGTGTTTTGATCACTGCCTTTCTAAAGATCATCTACTTCATCATGTGTGCGCTCAAGTGGAGACTTTTCCCGGTGATTTTAGATACCAACCTACCCTTCCTAATGGTGGTGGTATACAGGGGAAGTCTGGCCAGGAAAGTGAAGTCTCTGTTAGCACTGAAGGATGCCACTAGGGTGGTCCTAGCAATAAGCACCCTGCAGCACAACAGGCAGCATGCTGTGCTTCATGAACACAACCCATGCTTTCCTTCATCCTCATAGAGACACAGCCTGGGAAACTTCTCTCACATGAAGTCATCAGGCTTTTTCTTTTACCCTTTCTCTCTCATGCATACACATGTAGTGGTTATTTTATTTTTATGGTCTATATTCACCAGATAGCCCTGAACTTAACAATTGGCTTGATAAATATAAGCATTAAAAAGTCCCAAAATAGAAATACGTGATCTGGACTGTAGGAGCTCTGCAGGAGCTGTTATGGTCTATTGGGCCAATAATCGACCTTTTAAAGCATCTTAAATATGTATTTAAGTAATACACATTCTAAAAGTTCTGTAAATATGAATTTTCACAAAGGACTGTACTGTTTAAGGAGGAATGTCTTTTAAACCCACAGGGAGTTCTTTAAAATGAAGCCTCCCTCTTTCATATCTTAATTATATTGGAAATTAAGGCCATAAAATGAAAAGAGCTTCAACAAAAGGGAACATTGAGCAGGAGGTATTGGGAGTCAGCACTGAGCAGGAGGATGGGTTGGGCTGGGTTTGCTCTGCCCGTGCTTCCAGCCTTCTGCCATGCCTAATACTAACAAGAGCATTGCACAGAGTGTTTCTTTGAGGTCTCTCCCACCTTCTGCAAGCAAGATCTGGGCGGTGGATCAAACCTGAGACAGATAAGACATTACAAAACCACAGTTGTTCCTGATTACCTTGGGCACCATTTCACTAGCGTAAGCATATTCTCATCCAGGCTAGAGATTTTGCCTTGAAGAGTGCAACCAGGTATCACAATCCATAAATTGGCTTTTGTATTTTGCGATCATCCCAAGCCAACAATATGCTGCACAACACAACTTTGCTTATTTGTAATGGTGCAGATAAGAATGAAATTCCAGGGGTAGGTCCTGATGAGAAGAGATATAACTCAGGACTGCAGTAAACAGAGCTAAGAGTGGTAGACAATGGCAATTCCTTTAAGCTCTGCCCCTGTCTCTCCCTTTACACTTCTGTTTACACAAACGTTTAGTACTGGGCCCTGCAACATGTGCAGGTGTGAAGAAACAATACACCATCGTGTAAGAATTTCCATGCACAAGAGTTTTGGCACAAATAAATACCATGTGACTTAGTTGATCACTCACATAACTGTGCATGGCTTTAAATGTGAAACCTCCCAAGAGTTCTCAGGTTAGTAAGCAATTAAAAGACACTGACAGAAGCATAAAAATAAAGGTGACATTCCTCTTCTCCAAGAAGCCTCTCATCAAACCATGAGTCATCGTCTGAGATTTTATATGATGCACAGACTCATCTGGCTCAGGAATGAGGTCCATGCAAAGCATGTATATGAATCAAAAAGCAACACCATTTGCATATGATCACTTCAGCACCTCCAGTAGTGAAATGAGGCAGTGATGCTCTGCAAGAGAAAAGACTGAAGGTGTTAAGATATGTATGGTTGGGCTACCTAGGAGGGTGAAGTATAGGTGGTCAGTAAAGGAAGGTAGGCCAAACTCACATGCCCCAAATTCTCCATTGCAGTCACATTACCGCCCCTTTTACGTCAACAAAGGCAATGGAGCCACTTCCAACGAGGCACCTTGATTCCTGAAGATTTAGGGAAGAGCTGGCAGCACTTGGAGTGAAGACTCAGCTGCGGATTTTCATGGATGTACCTGCTACTATATTAACCTTACTGCTCTAATCTCTGCCAGGGAGAGGGAAGGTGCAGAAGGGAATAGCCTTTACTGGAGGAAACAAGGACTTTTTCCTAATGACCTAATTGCCTTGAAAGCTCCGCAGGCCTTAACAATGTAACCCCATCCTTTGCTGTCACCTCCTAATTCCCTCTCTGTCAATGTCCTTCCCTTTGCTTCTGCAGAGCAAGCTGCTCTGCTTCTCCTGGGAAGCATGCATGCTTGGGTAGCAACCCCTCTACTGTACCAGTTGTCCCCTTGTCCTGAGAGTGTTTGTATGACCATAGCCGTTAAGTTCTGACGAAGATCCCAAACTGGGGGGGAGCCCAAAGGTCTTCCTGGAATGAAGAGGTCCCAGCCAGCCACTGGGACAGGCTAAAGCTCCTCCCTTGCCTCTCTAGCCTGTCACTCGGAAACAGGGAGCAGCTCTCACTGGCACCAGGTCCAGTGCTGCCACCTCCCCAAGACCCCTGCACACTCCCCCCAGCCCATGCCAGTGGCAGCACACTTCCTTAGAGCCCTTCTTTAGCTCAGCTCAGCTCTGCTCCTGCTGCCTTTCAAAAACCCATCAAAGAGGACCTATTCAGAGCTGCTACAGCCCAAGGCCAGCTACTGGTGGAGGGCAGAAAGGCTTTCTATCCCATTAAAGTACCCCCCCAGCCACCTTTTCAAATTAAGGAACAAAAAAGAAAATCCATCCTACTAACATAAGATTGATTAGATGCCATAGGTGGTGGGTGCTTTTTCGTTTTGTGTTGGCTTTTTTTAATTCCCCTAAACCAAAATTGATTAATTCATTGTGGTTCAGGGGTTGTTTTTGGTTTTGTTTTGTTTTCTGCAATGGGCAATGACAATTAATACCATAGCTTTTTGCTCAGGATAGCATTTTTTGTTTGTCCCCTGGATACACAAATCACATCAGCACCCAGCCTGCAAACCAGCCAGGGCTGGTTGAGCTTCCCATGATCTCACTGAGATTATTTTCCTTCCCCTTGGACAAAGCTGAGAGGTTCAGTCCATGCTGTGTAGAAACCTCCCAAGGCCAGTCACTTGGAGCAGATGGCCCATTGCAGGATCAGAGCCTTCAAACAGTGATGAGCAGCTGTCAGAGAAACAAGACATAACAGCTACTTTTCATGGTTTGCTCTGTTCAAGCAGTTTTTGGAATGGCTTCCCCCAACCTTTCCTACCCCCAAATGCTTGCAATACCTTGCTGAGAGGTAACACCTATTCACTCCCTGAAGATGACTTTCTTGCTGGGCAAAGACAGTGCTTTTTAATGCGACACCTCAGTCAAAACTTGGTTGCTCCCGAATACCTGAAATGGCACTTGTTATAACTATTTTTTTCCTAAATGTCCAGCGGGGAAGGGGATAGCATGGCAGGGAAGGATGTGAAGAAAAGGAAACTGAGATAGAGTTGCTAGGAAATGCATGAAGGGTTTGAGTATGTTTGTGAAAGGATAAAATAAGCCCTCCCCAGATATCAGGTTTTTTTGCCCCCGAGCAGGCATCCAGTAAGCACTTGTGTCCCTTTCGCCCCAGTAAGACCTTCTACCACCTCCTTTGATATTCCAAAATGTGGGTGTGATCCCTCCCCTCCTCTTCCAAACCTTGGATATTAAAATTCACCCCTTCTTTCCTGCCTTATAGAAGGCTTGTTGCGGTGCCAGCTGGGGGCTGCACTGCCCCTCGCCTAGCACACAAATGGAAGAGTGTCCCCTTGTCCCGTCCCCGCAGCCTGTTTGCTCCCTGTCCTCTCCTCACTTCAAGGGCCTCACTCAGATCACACACACATGACTTCCCACACCGGCACACTCCGGCAACAGGAACGGAGCTGCTCCCCACTTGTGCTAGCCTGGGAGGATGCTGGACCCCTCCTTCCAGCCCCACTGTACCTCGATAGGGAACTAACAGCGCGGCTTCGAGGTGTATTGTGCATGAACTGTTTTTATCGTGTTTGTCTTGATCAGCAAAGCAAGAGGAATTCCACCTCCTCAGACAGGACACGACTGCGTTGATGTAAGTGAGGCCCTTCACGTGTGCAACATACTGCAGAAATAAAGGAGAAAGCTCCATGTCTGACCAAAAACAATGGGTTTGAGGTCTGTCTTTGGTGTTTGTATGCTTGTAAGAGTCTCAATGAGGTTAAGCCCCTTCAAAATATTCTTTAGTTTGGAGAACCCGTTTTCCTAGAGGTTTTCTTTTCACAGCTTTATGGATGAGTCAAAGTCATGTCAAACCAGAGAAAATTCCCACATCCTTGAACATGAAAGACTGATGGATGCAATTGTAATATAATACCTTCAGACTACCCTGCAGATATGCCCAGCTAGGTCAGTTCCCAAACAAGTCCTTCCCTGCAAGGACATTTCCAGAAACCCCTCAAGCCTGTTGTTGTTCATGATTTCAATGCTTTTCCCCTGCCAGCGTTAAACCTCACCAGTTCACACCGAAGGAAAGCTCTTGCTCACATGTGTGCTAGCCAAAATCAGCCTGGGAAAGACCAGGCTGTAAGGAAATGGGCTGAGGCACGGTTTTGCCCCAGCCTGGACCCAAGTCCCCCTGAGAGGTTGGTTATGGGACCCTATATCCCCTTGAACCCTTGTGGGGAAACAGACCTCCGACTCTGCAGAGCTCACACTGCTTGACTATATCATGGCCTCTCTAGTCTCTGAAGAAAAGAATAAATCCCTTGTGGGATACTAAATATGTGGGTTCAGGGCCAGACATGCATAGACGTAGCCCTGACAGCCACTTAAAAGAACAATTGTACACGTGAATCTGTGGGAATAAGAACAGAACCAGGCAAGTTTTATTCATATACCCTAGATACACATTCCAGAGGATGCCTGGCATATTTCTTCTCCCAGGTACTAGATATCAGCTATTTTTCCCCAGACATTGCTGACAGTCATTCACAAAGAGCAAGGATACTACCGATTCACTTGAGAAGCCAGTAAATCCTCCTTGTTTACCCCACATGGGAGTTACCAGGGAACAGAGCTCAGCTCTTTCCCATCAATTCCACTCACTGCTTCCATTACTGTTATTACTGTGATTAAAAAGCAATCAAAGAGAAATCTTCTTCCTGTCCTGAAATTGCTGCAAACGTCTCAGTTCCACCATTTAAGCATGAGAAGAGCAAGCTACAAGCACGCTCTGCACTCCTGGACTCTTCAGCACTAGAACAAATAATGGAGCTCATCACCTGAGCAGTCAGAGGCAATGAGCAGGACTGGCCGTGCCGGTGGCATGGGGATGGAGTAATGAACCTTGCTGCTGCAGGGCTAGATGCCTGCTTAGAGAGTCTAGTCAGAGCAGTCCCAGACACACATAATGAACTTCACAGCCTGGAAGTGTGGCCTGAGCTCAGTGCTGCTGCACGCCCAGCTCTGAGGTCAGGCTTCAGCAATCCATCCCAATGAGATCCCTGAGAGAAGGGGGGGGGGGGGGGTGTGCGGGGTGGGGGCGGGGTGGGGTGTGATAGGTCTCTCTGGTCCAGGCAGGACACTTGGACACCCGAAGCTGGGCTGTCATAGAAAGGCTCGGTGACAAAATGTACAGTCAGTGTGACTCAGAAGGAGACGTGAGCAGCTGTGACACCTCTTTAGAGGGTCTGGATGCTGATGAGATCAGGAGAGGTCTTCTCCCTCTTTCACTCCCAGCAATTAGGGGTCAGGGCAGCAGGTCTCATTGAGCCGCAGTGCTTCAGAGCCTGGCTCTGCTGCAGAGATGCAGGGCATGTACCTGTGTAACAGTCTACCTGCCTGTAATCACAGCCTTCTGGTAATCAAAAAGGAGTGACACTGACTGCCACGCAGATAAGAGCAAGTTCATGCTGAATTTTACTAGCAGATCTGTAACTGTGGGCTTCTGAACCAGAACGATGCATGATCTGTGCTAGTCCAAGGGAAACACAGGTAACACAGGGACAGACCCCCTTCCTGGATGTAAATTGGCTTCAACAGTCAGTGAAAAAGCAAAGAAAATAGCTCCAAAAGCTGATCTTCACTAATCACTCATTCAGCTCACTCAATCACTTCTGTCACCACAGCAAGACAGGCAATTGTTTTATCTTTGTGCATATTAACCATAAAGTTTTTAAATGAACAATTCTTCTGGGGCATAAACAATAATAATAAAATCTAATTGCTTGTGAACCTTTAAGATTTTGCAATATTGTAGTGAGATAAATTTGCCACTCTCTTGCGCAAAGATAACACAGAAATAAAGGTTTTGAATTTCCTAATTAGCAAGCATAAAATACAGGGACATGTTCTTAATAAAACTATTGGGATGTTCAATCAAAGATTACAATAGCTTTTGAATTTTCATTGCTAAGGATCTGATCTTTAGACTTTCAGCTTTTCAGGCTACAAACCTTGAAATGATGCAGCTTAACAGAGCATTTCCTCCAGACCATGATGCACTGGACCAGTTCACCGTAGCTCGCAGGGGGACAGATAGAAAACACTCTGTTGCTCAGTACAAGTGAGGCCCATGCCTCAGCAGAGCCATCCAGAAACACTAATGATAAATACAAACCTGGTTCAATATGTTCCTTTTTATCTCAGCTCAAAATCCTCTACTTGGATTTTTAAACAACTCTTAAATAACTCAATAGAAAGAATTTTTACGTAATTCTAAATAGAAAGAATTGTAAGGAAACCCCTTTCAGGTTAATATTTTCCTTATATAAGGGAAAATAGAACACATTTAAGCTGAATAAAACATGCATGGATAGCTGTGGCAATTAATTTGCACATTTTACTGCACTTAAACTAGTAATCTTACACACTTCCATCAACCATACATTTAATCCTGGCTGGCATAGTTGCTATGCACTGTTAGAGAAGGCATCCTGCATGTTACAGTAATGAAGGATTAACATTTTGCCCTTTCTATC